CGATGGACTTAATTTTGAACTTTTTTCGACCATATAATTCAAAGTTATCGTTATTCTAAAAAACCACTAAAATTTAAGAAGATCAGTTTTTTGAAATTTTAAGAAACAATTTATTTTTTTCTTTTAAATTGTTATTATTTTCTAAAAGAATATTAAAATACGCATTGATGGACCTAATTTTGAACCTTTTTCGACCTTATAATTCAAAGATATCTTTATTCTAAAAAACCAACAAAATTTAAGAAGATCAGTTTTTTGAAATTTTAAGAAACAATTTATTTTTTTTATTTAAATTTTTATTATTTTCTAAAAGAATATTAAAATACGCATCTATAGACCTATTTTTGAACCTTTTTCGACCACAAAATTCGAAGTTATCGTTATTCTAAAAATCCAACAAAATTTAAGAAGATCAGTTTTTTGAAATTTTTAGGGACAATTTTTTTGCAACTTTTATAATTATCTGGAAGAATATTGAAAAACACATATATCGTGTCAATTAGAAAAAAAATGTAGTCTTTTAATGATGTTTTAATGGATTTTGTAATTAAAAAGAATATGTCATAGGCGAAAATGATTTTTCCTTTATATACTTATCAACTTGAATGGATTATTATCCTTTTAGTTTGAAGATTATAGTTACTGTAAAAATAATAAATGACAAGTTGATCTTTTAGCCTCATTGAATAAAAATAAAAACGAATGGAATATATGTAAATAAGTCCTTTCTTTCGTGCGAGGATAGCCCTTGGAATAACGCGGTGATGGGTGCGACTGTTTCTGAGCATTTGAAACCTTTTGCTGCTTGAACGATTGGAATGCAAACCGCATTTGCGAAGCAATGCGACTGGCAACTATTTACCATTGCTTACGTCACTCAATAGTAACTCAAACAAACGATTTTATATTTATTTTTTCCCTACCATTAAATATATACAATTTTCACTTGTCATCTGTGTATTACTATATATAGAATATTCCCACAAGAAACAATCATGTACAGAGTGTGACAAATTTTCCATTTTTTTTTTTCATAATTATTTTATTACCAAACATTTATTTATGTCAGCATTCATTTAAGAAATTGATGGGTCAACGTATTTAATGTATACCTGCTACGTGAGCAAATTCCACGAAGAAATTTAATTCTAAATGAAATTGTTTTCTTTTCATTTTAATTTCTTTTTATATTTTTTTCTTTACACGTTTTGAATATATTATTTGTTCTTCAAAGAAAAATTTTTATTTCATGAACTTAGTTTGAAAAAAATTTTTATTAATTTTTAAGTTTTTTGAACAAATAGTTGTTTTATTTGCTTAAAGAATAAAATTATTCTTCTTAATGAAAGCTGTACAAGAATAGAACGCCTTCAATTCTCATTTTACATATTGAATAAGAAAAAAAAAACTCGAGTGCTTTATAGAATCATTTTCAAAATGTTCATTCCAAAGCAGAACGTCTATGACTCAACTAAAAATTATTCAATTTTTTCCCCCTCGTTTATAATTTCACGTGACTCTTGAAGAACGTGTCATTAATAATTTAATATTTTGACAATTTTTTTTTTACAAGAACATTATTATTATTATTTGAAGAGACTTTGGAAAAAATAATTCTTTATTTTACTTTAACGATATAGTCAAGACTATATATAGTATTGAGAGCAACGACGTTTAATTGAAGGTCAACTTTTGTTCCATAAAACAAAGTGTGTAGTAAAATTATATTTTTTTCGCATATTAAAAATTAATTTACGAAACAATTTAACCATAAAAATTTTTTTTCTTCTCTTCAGGTTTGTGCAATTTTTATTTAACAGAATTGATTTTTCAAATACAACAGTTTTCAAGTTGTTGAAAATTTTATTTTAAAACACTACTTCTTTTCATAATAATTAGCATTCGCGCACAGTGGCTACGAATACAAAATCAACTGTGTGGAGTTGGAAACCAGAGAAAACTTGATTTTCGAAGGTCAAATTGTTTAGACTGAAATTTGTGGAAAAAACAATTTTCGCTTGTTTTTTAATAATTGGAATATCGATGGTTTTATATATTTTTTTAAATTATTGATAATAGAATAATTTATTTACTGGTATGCAAAAATGAAGGATTTAAGTAAAAAAAAAGTTGTGGTTCTGATTTAAAAATTGTTTTTCGACTTATTTGACTGGACTAAGAGAAAGAAAAGCAGAACGCTACGCTTAGAGTGAGAAGGAAAGTCCAATTTTTCTCTTTCTCTCCCATTATCCCCACTCCATCGCTCTACGTTCCGCTGGAGCGGGGAGACACGGAGAGTAAGAAAGAAAGTTCGATTTTTCTCTTTCTCTCCCATTATCCCCACTCCGTCACTTCATTTCGCTTCTTTAAAAACGATTCTTCTATTATACTCCCTTAAATATTCCTTCTTTCAAAAAAAAAAAAAAAAAAAAAAAACCTTTTTATTAAAGAGGAAAAACCTTAAGACAAAAATTTGTAAAACAATATCGAGTGTAAGAAATATTTTTCTCTTTAGAATTAAAAATTCTAATTTTTGATATTAAATGTTTAATCGTTGTGAATTTTACTTGCTGAAGGATCTGAACATTGAATAGAGAGATATTGACAGTAATCAATTGATTGTTGACTACTTAAAAATTCACGTATTGATAAAGAGATATTATTATGATATCACATGTGTCACACATGTTCATTGAAAATTTTGCTAATTATTTTTTTAAATTGTTTCGAAAATATCATGAATTAATGACAAATTAATCGTAAATAATAATTAATCTTTCTTAAAAATTAAAAATAAATTTATTTATTATGAATAAATTAGTAATACGAATATTAATAATAATAATAATAATAATAATAATAATAATAATAATAATATTAATAATAACAACAATAATAATTATTAAAATCAAAAAAATAATAATGGTAGCACACTAATTATTGCTAATTATTAATGTTACATTTATTATTAGTGTTATTATCATTCTTTTTTTATTTATTATTTATTATTATTATTATTTTTATTTTTAATATTTTGATTATTTTTGTTATTATTATTATTATTATTATTATTATTATTATTATTATTATTATTTTTGCAACAAAACAAGTTTAGGAAAGGAAAAAATCCTTTTACGCACTTGTTCGTGTGGGACTCGACCACGTCCTGTGGTAATTATTATTATTAATATTATTATTATTGTGATTATTTTTAATATTTGTAATAAATTACATTCGACAATTGAAATTTTCTTAATAAATTTTTTTTTTAAATTAATTTTTAAACAAATTTCGTAAGATGAAATAAATTTCGTGCCTTTAAATGAAAAGTTTATTTTTACGTATGATTATTATTACATAATGTCAATGTCATTTATCTTTGTGTTTATAAATTATTATTTTTTTTATGAATTGAACGATAGTGGTGAAAATAAAATATTATTATTTTTAATTGTACCTTATGCAATAAATATTTATTTCTTTAAATAAACATAATAAAAGAAACGATATTCTAAATTTAAGAATATCATTAAATATTTTAAATTCAAGAATTTCGTTCAATATTATTTAAAAATATTAGAATATTGTTAAATATTAATATTTTTCGTTTATTATTATTTTTTTTTATCCTAAATTCAGAGAAATTTTTTAATCAATTAAAAATCACTTCTAAAATAATTTTTTTTTTTAATAGCACTAAGAGTGCGGAAATTGAAAAAATAGCAAGTTTACACACTAAAGATTAATTTTGTTATATTTTTAGAAAATATGATTCGTCAGGTAGAGAGAGAGACAGAGAGAATTTTTACTTAAATCTGTTTTCATTTAATGATAAGTTATCTCAATAAAAATTGTCGCATTGCGAAATTGCACAATTTAATTTAATGTTACAATTTACCTATTAATTGTATAAAATTGTTTTAAAAAAAAAAATTACTCTATATTTCTATAATATTTTTCCGTACCTTTTACTTTTTATGATATAGAGGAAAAAATGATTAAAAGAAAATAAAAAGTTGAAATAAGGCCCCTATATTTCTACAGTTCTGTTCTTTCCTTTTTTTTTATAAAAACTACTTGTTTGTTCTATTTTTTCGCACGTCAATAAAGTTTGCTTCTAAAAATATTAACTTCCTGAAAAAAAATAATTTTTTGTTTCAAAATTTCAAGGTAATTTCCTGATTATTGAAATTTAAAAAGTATTGTATTGAACATTTGGAAATGTTTTTATTTGCTACAAAAAAAAAAGAAAAAAAAAAGAAAATAGGTGGGTAAAAAAAATTAAACGTGATAAAATAAAATTAACATTTTTAGGTGGTATATATTGTTTCTTTAAGGACGTCATGATTCTTTATAAAAACTGTCTACGTAAAGTTGTTGATATAAAATTGATTTTTTATCCTTGAATAAATAATGTAAATCCCCGTATTCAAATAACAAGCACCACTCAAATTCTTAAATAAGTAGATTTCACTTTTTTTCAAAAACAATAAAGTGAAGGAATTTTTTTTTTTTTGAAAATCTAGGATGCATCAATAATTACACTTTCTATGTCGCATATTTTATAATAAAAAATTGGAAGTAACTCTAGTGTATCTCCTATCTCGTGATCTTTTACAATCTCTTGGCATTATCCCATCCGGATATTTTTTTTACCCAAGAGAGAGAGAGAGAGAAAGAGAGAAAGATGAGAATTATGTTAACAATTTTTTTTTCCTACAAGTTTCACATAAAAGTTGTTTTCCTTGTTTCGTGTGGTTAATCGTGAAAGGTGAAATTTCATTGGTCAATAAAGACGCGCTGCGGATTTATATATTGAATCCAAAAGGGAATAACTCCTACGGGTTTGGTAGCCATTTCAATGGGGCTTTATAGGCATCACACGATTTTATTTACCGCGATTAACGGTTCACAATCACTTTTTGAAATGTTGAAAAATCAATTGGCCCAATGGTAATATGTGTGGTATCAAAAAAATTTAACTTTTCACGCACACTCACCTATTTTTTATTGTGCTTTGTATTTAGAAAGTATATTCCTTTTTTTTTTATTCCTTTAGAGTATTCCTTTTGAAGAATTTATAAATCCTTGAAATTGTCTAAAAACTTGCTGAAGAATCGATGAGTTTTTTCTTTTTTTCTTACTTTTAAATCACATACATATACACTGAGTCGACTTTCGTGGTATTTTTCAAACTACGTTTCTACGTTGTCGACTAAAACTTTGAAGCTGATAGAAGGTTGAAGGAGTGGGGATTAGTGGGCCCCCAAGCCCAACATTCTCAGGTGGTGGGGATTGAAGATTATTCCAGGTGAATAACTATAGCCTATACTGATAATATGGTCAGTCTGCTGACATCTGTTGGATACTCAGAGAGATGAATTTTTTTTTTGTTAAACCTTTAAAAAATAATCACATAAAAAATTTATATTGAAAATTTACATTAAAAAAAAAAAAAAAAAAAAATTATGTGGCAATATTTAAAATAAAAAATTTCCACTTTATTTTCTTTTCAATCTGAATATTCTTACAAAAAATAAGAATCAATGATTATCGTTTATTTCTTCAAAAATGATATAGTTTCGCGAAGAGACAAAAGATGGAATATTAAAATTCAAAATGGCCGATTCAATATGGCAGATAGGGACAATGTAAATTTTTTGCTACTAAAAGATTCATAAATCACCAATTTATTAGGTTTAAATTTTAACTTTTTAATTTTTCTTTTTTAGAAGTAAATCAAAAATTAATATTTTATTTTTATTATAAAAGAAATTTTACTATAAAGAAAATTAGTATCTTACAGTTGTTCTCATCTTAATATCATAGCTTTAAAAAAATATTTCATTATAAAAATTTCCCTTTAATGATTTTTAATGTAAGAAAAACCATGATTAGTTAAATTTTTTCATTATTAATTAAATATATTTTTCTTTAGAATTCTAAAGAAAATTTTTTTTTTTTTTTAGAATTCTAAAGAAAAAAATTTAATTAATAATGCAAAAAATTTTTTTTAATTTATAAAATTTAGAACTCTAAAGAAAAATAGGTAATTATAATAATGCAAAAAAATTTTCATTAATTTAAAAAATTTATAACTCTAAAGAAAAAAATTTAATAAATAGTGCAAAAAATTTTCTTTAATTTTTAAAAACAATTGAAAATTTTCACTAATAAAAAATAAAAAAATTAATGCAAATTTAAAACCAGTGAATAATAATTATTTAGTTAACTTCTGCTGATACTGTAGAAGTGAATCATTTTATTTTTTACTCGAAACATTTGCAGATAAGACAGAAATCTTGTGGTAAATTTCTGTAAATAAATTTCTACAATTTACCATAATTTTCACGATGATAACTATTATTTTTTGTTAGCTTTATATTATTAAAATTGTAATTAATTAAACTTATTATTATTATTATTATTATTATTATTATTATTATTATTATTATTATTATTATTATTATTATTATTGTTGTTGTTGTTGTTGTTGTTGTTGTTGTTGTTGTTGTTGTTGTTGTTGTTGTTGTTGTTGTTGTTGTTGTTGTTGTTGTTGTTGTTGTTGTTGTTGTTGTTGTTGTTGTGGTAAGGTAAAATTATTCTTTTTATGGTTTTGTTATATCATTGTTAAAATTATTCCTTTTATTATTATTATTATTACACAGAAAAAAATTATTTGATTTAAATAACCGAAAAAGTAATAACGATTACTTTTCTATAATAAAATAAATATTTACTTCAATCCAATGATTTTATTTAAATCAATCATATAATTAGAAAACTTAAATTTGTTCAAATACAATTTATTTGATTTCAATAAAAATTATTTGATTTATGTAAATATTTATTTGATTCAAGTAAATATTTATTTGCTTTAAGTAAATTTTTATTTGATTCAAGCTCTCTAAATTTGAATTAGTAAAAATGTTCACTAATTTGAATTAGTGATAGACTTTTTGTGTTTGAATTAGTAAATTTTACTAATTTAAAAGAAAAATGCCAGTTATTAATTGAAATTAGTAAATCTTTTTACTTATTCAAATTTAAAAGAGAGTAATTATTTATTTGGTTCAAATGAATATTTATAATTGATTTAGGTAAATATTTTATTTGGTTTAAGTAAATATTTATTTGATTCAAGTAAGTAATTTTTTTATTTTGCAAGCAAAATAAAAAAGACAATTTTGTTTAAAATTACAAACGATCTGAATAAACAATTGATTTGTTATTTAAATCTTTGTTTTTAATTTTCTGTAGTTGTATATAATATGTAGGCAAACTAAATATTTAGAAATTGTTAATCTTTTTACTTGCTATTCTTTTCTAAATATTATACTGTATAATATATTCTAAATATTAAATAAAAAATGAAATACAGTTTAGTCCAAAGTTCAATATTTTACACATAGTTTAAAAAAAAAATTAATTTACATTTTTGTTTTGCTGGCGTTTAGATAAATAGTTAAATATTGTTGAGTCTACGAAGAATATATACTATATGAAAATATTATTAAACATGTGATGTGTGAATCAAGCGACATTCAATCTGCAAAAGAAAAAATTAAATGAAAACAAAGTATACTTTATTTTAAAAAAATATTAATTAAAGCAATTAATGATTTTAATTAAATTAAAAGAAAATAAAATTTTGCGGAAGGAAAAACATTATACATACATATATTTCCGTTTTTTAATATTTCTGTATTTTATTTAATATTATATTATTTATAATTATTAATATTTATTAATAAATATTTAATATTTATTAATATTAATATATTAATAATTATTTATATTTATTTATTTATTATTATTATTTATAATTATTATATTATTTTATTTATTTTATTTTATTTTTTTATTTTTATTTTTTTTTTTTTTGTATTTTATTTTAAGTTATTTAAAAATGAGGGAAAAAATGTTTATAAATTCTATTTGTCAATTGCAAATTTTAATTGTTAATGAAATTGGAAATTTAAAAATTTTTAGAAAATAAAGGAAAAAAGTTTATTTAAAAAAATGTTCTCTTACATTTATTTACGAATTTCTTTAATTATAAAATTATTCGAGAACATCAATAACTTCTTTTTTTTAAAATTATTTTCATCATTTCAATTCAATTATTATTTTCTATAATTTTTAACTAAATTTCTTTTCTAAATCAACTATTTTTAATCATTTTTGAAAAAGTTCTTTGAGAATTTAAATTTTCTTTGAGAAAATATAAACATTTGTTTAAAATTCAATTTTACGAAATTTGGATTATTCAGAAATTCTTCAATTAAATATTTATATTAGAAAATAAAAACTTCAAATTAAAAAAAAAAAATTTAAATTAAACTTTTTAAAAAAAAATTAATTCTTCAGAATTACCAGGTAAAAGTATAGAAAATTCAGAATTTCAAATATTTTAATTTGAAACTTTTTCAAAATTATTCAATTACTTAAATACGATAGTAAATAATTTATTGAATAATTGAATGTTTTTAAAATTTAATTCTTATAAAGAATTTTATCAACAAATTTCTAATTAATTAAACTTTTGCCGAATTTTATCAATTTTTAAATTTTATAAAATTTCACACACTCCCCTAATAATATTTTTTTCTAATTAATGAAAAAAAAATGTTTTTTGAAAACAAAAAAAAAGATTAAAAATTTCGTATATACAATTCCTATAGGTTACTATAATATTATGACCCAAATAGGGAAATTTTTAAATCTTGTCACTGCATGCTCGAATAATTGATGATAAGCGAAACGATGGTATGTCTGGACAGGTGACTCAGTTCCCAGCGAGAGTTGTACCTGGTAGTACATAGTTACTACTGTTTATATCCCATAGAAAAGTAATCCTACTTTATTATCGCTGGCATGAAATGAATTTTCCTCATGTTAGTTAAATTCCCTGAATTTATTCTTTCCTAAACTTTTAAATTTACCATCCTTTTAAAAAAAAAATGTTGTAATTTATTAGAAAATTTAAAACTAACACCTACTTTTGCAATTGTATTTAATTTAATAAATAATAATATAAAATCAAATCGTTTGTTTGAAAAGAAAAATAATATTGTTTCTCACAAAAAGTGTAAAAAGTATAATTTTTATCCCAATTACGAGAATTATCATTTTAACGATGTATTTATTTATAACTCAAGAACATGCGAAATTTAGGGAAAGAAATATAAACTTTTATTTTTTTTTGTGTTGATTTCTTAACAAGGAGCAAGGAAAATAACTTTTATCGACTTATTTAGAAGTCTGTTGTCAAGGAACTGCATTTCGATTTTGTCGCATGGCCAGATTCAATTTATATTTTATTTATTGTACCAATGGTTTTGAAAAGAAAAAGGATAACGCACGTAAACTGAAATCTTTAATAAAAAAAAAAAATAATTTACAGATTAATCAAACAAGTTTACGACCAAAATAATATTAATTCTTTGTAGAATTAATAAAACAGTTTGTCAAGATGAACAATAACATTAATATTCTAATAATAAATTTTATCTCTCACAATATTTATTCTAAGATCAATAAAAGTGACAAATAATACAACAATTGATAAAATGCAAATTTGATAATTTTTTATTTATTATTTTAAGCAATAAATTTAACAAAAATGTAGTGGAAAATTAATATTCAGATCTTATTCATGAAGGGGAGAGAAAATATTTTTGTTTTTTTATTCCTTCGATTTCGGAAAATTATCAGTCATTTATTTTCTTTAATAATCTTGAAAATATTAACTCCTTTCTTGTGGACAAACAAATAAAAAATAGGAAAAAATTTATTAACACAAAAGTTGAGAATAGATTTCGATTTCAATTTGGTTTAAAAAAATAGAAAATAATCAAAAGATGTGAAATAAGAGTTACCTCTTTTCTTTTGCGAAGAAAGCTCGTTTGAATATATAAAACGCGTTCATCTTTCGAATACGACCTCTGTCTGTCAAAGTCCATCAGTCCATGTAACCCCAGGTCAATTTTCCATATCATCTATATAACAATTATTGTTTACAGTTTCTCGCTTTCATGTGCAATCTTTACTGCATACAAACGTGAAGGAAAAAATTCTCCTTCCCCTTCTCTTAAATCGTTATTATTCACTTCACGCACAAACTGATTAAAAAAATTTCATCTTTCATCAAGAAGTTTAAAATTAAAAATTATAGTTTATTTAGTTTTTAAAATTAAAAAAAAATAAAAAAAAAAATAAAAGAAAGAATGAAGGAAAAGTAAGAAAAAAAGAAATGAAGAAGGAAATGAAAAAAGAAAGAAGAAGAAAAGAAATAAATGGAAAAAAAGAAGAAAGAAAAGAAAAAGAAGAAAGAAAAAAAAGGGAAATGAAAAAAGAATCCTTGTGATTATGGACTGTGATTGAAATAAATAAATAAAAAAGAAAGAAAGGAAAAAGGAAAGAAAGAAAAAAAAGAAGAAAGAAAATAAAGAACAAATAAAGGAAAAAAGAAAAGTAAAGAAAAGAGACTAGAAAAGAAAGAATAGAAAAAAAAGAAAAAAAGAAAGGAAAGAAGAGAAGGGAGAAAAATGAAAAAAGAAAAGAAAGACAATGAAAGGAAAAAAGAAAGGGAAAGAAAAGAGTAGGAAAAAAAGAAGAAAAATGTGAAAATAAAATAGGGAAGAGAAAAGAAAAAAAGAAAGAAAAAGAAAAGAGGATAAAAAAAATGAAAGGAAAAAAGAGAGAAAAAGAAAAGGGGTGAAAAAAAGAAAAGAAAAAAAATGTAAAGAAAAAGAAATAAAATTAAAGAAAGAAATGAGAAATGAAAAGAATGAATTGAAAAAAATGAAAAAAGAAAGAAAAAGAAAAGAAGGGAGCAAAAAGAAAAAAATGTGGAAATAAAATAGGGAAGAGAAAATAAAAAAAGAAAGAAAAAGAAAACAGGATAAATAAAGAAAATGAAAGGAAAAAAGAGAGGAAAAGAAAAGGAGAAAAAATAAAAGGAAAAAGAAATAAAATAATAAAGGAAAGAGAAGAGAGAAGAGAAAAAGGAGATAAATAAGAAAGAAAACAGAAAAGAAGGAAGAAAATGAAGGAAAAAGAAGAAATGAAAAAAGAAAAGAAAGACAATGAAAGGAAAAAAAGAAGGGAAAGAAAGGAAAAGAAATGAGAAAAGAAAGAATAAAAAAAATGATAAAAAGAAAGGAAAAGAAAGGAAGGGAGAAAAAAGAAAAAAAGTGAAAATAAAAATGGGAAGAGAAAAAAAAAAAAAAAAAAGAAAATAGAAGGAAAAAGAGAGGAAAAGAAAAGGGGTTAAAAAAAGAAAAGAAAAGAGAATAGAAAAAATAAGAAAAAAGTAAAGAAGAGAAGGGAGAAAAACGAAAAAAGACTGAAAAAAGAAAAGAAAGACAATGAAAGGAAAAAAGAAATGGAAAGAAAAGAGGAGGAAAAAAAGAAAAAAATGTGAAAATAAAATATGGAAGAGAAAAGAAAAAAAGAAAGAAAAAGAAAAAAGGATAAAAAAAGAAAATGAATGGAAAAAAGAGAGGAAAAGAAAAGGGGTGAAAAAAAGAAAAGAAAAAAAATGTAAAGAAAGAAATGAGAAATAAAAAGAATGAATTGGAAAAAAATGAAAAAACGAAAGGAAAAGAAAAGAAGGGAGAAAAAAGAAAAAAATTTGAAAATAAAATAGGAAAGAGCAAAGAAAAAAAGAAAAGAGGATAAAAAAAGAAAATGAAAGGAAAAAAGAGAGGAAAAGAAAGGGAGAAAAAAGAAAAGGAAAAAATAATAATAAAGGAAAGAGAAGATAAAAAGGAGATAAATAAGAAAGAAAAAAGAAAAGAAGGAAGAAAATGAAGGAAAAAGAAGAAATGAAAAAAGAAAAGAAAGACAATGAAAGGAAAAAAAGAAGGGAAAGAAAGGAAAAGAAATGAGAAAAGAAAGAATAAAAAAAATGAAAAAAAGAAAGGAAAAGAAAAGAAGGGAGAAAAAAGAAAAAAAGTGAAAATGAAAATGGGAAGAGAAAGGAAAATAAAAAAAAAGAAAAGTGGATAAAAAAAGAAAATAGAAAAAAAAGAGAGGAAAAGAAAAGGGGTGAAAAAAAAGAAAAGATAAAAAATAAAAGGGAAAAGAAATAAAATAAAAAAGGAAAGACAAAAAAGAAGAAGAGAAAAAGGAGATAAATACGAAAGAAAAGAAGGAAGAAATAAAAAAAAGAACAGAAATGAAGAAAGTAAATTAAAAAGAAAGAAGGAAAAAAAATAAAGAGAAAATGAAAGAAAGAAAATAAAGAAAAGAAGAATTCTAAAAATGAAATAAAAAATTTCATATTAATATTAAGAATTGAAAATTACAAGAAAAGTAATTGTTGCATTTTTAAAAAAAAAAATGGAACAAAAATTCGCAAGGACGAAGAAAATTTTTCAAAAAATGTATACAAATTTATTTTTTTTTTCAAGCTAATAATTTATTAATAATGATCCCTTTAATCATCACAGCAACCAATCGTAAAATTGGTTTATATATTCACATTATATAAATAAATTTTATATATCATGTCAAGTTTGTCTTACACAAATAATCTTCGTATTTATATAATTTAATACAAGCTTTTCACAGAAAGCTCAATTTTTCATTTGCCCTTTTCACTATGAAAACGTGAGCATTTAAGAAAATTAGATATAATTAAAAATATTGATGAGAAACTATATTACTTTTTAAAGTGAGAAATTCAGCGAAAAAAAAAAATTTGATGTATGGAAGAAAAAAAAACTTATCAATGCCGAACTTTTTTTTAAATACAATTTTTTTTTCTATGTTTAAAATGATATTTACAAGGTTTCTTAAAAATAATTTGAAAATTGTTATATTTCAAAAATGATTTTATACACACCAAGATAGCATATGTAACCTTGCAGCGAGCTTGTCGTGGAAGTTTGCTTTTGCAATATTTGCTGCAAAGTTTAAAATTGTCATGTAAACATGCAGAAATATTGAATTTTGAGTTTGTGGCAAGCTTTTCAAGATTATATGCTAACTGGGCACGTCTCTAGTTTTTTTTTTTTTTTTTTTGAAAAACAAAAATATTTCTAGTGACATGGAGACATTAAGTTTTTGTCCATAAAAAATATTCCAGTTACTGGGTGAATTAATGAAAATTTGTTAAAATGTCTGATGAATTTTAAAGTGCACAACAATTTTTATTGTTCTCAAAGAACTTTGGGGAAAAAAAAAAATTATCGCACAACCGCGAGTGGTGGATTATGTTTACCAGGTTGGGCTCTGATGACACCGGCAACGCGTCTAAATGGCAATTGAAGATAATAATATGCGCAATAGGGCAAAGGATCCCAATAAACAAAAAGTGCTTGTCTTTTATCGAGAACATTGCCCAATAATTGGGATGAAGTACTTTCAGCTGATGAATTCTTTAATGCAGTGGCAAGAGCCTCTGGATTTGGAGCAGCAGCAGCAGCAGCCCTCTCACCAATAACAAGTGGTCCTGAATTATGTCTCGAAAAATGTTTACAGGGCCTCCAAACTAAACGTGGATGTACACTGGTGTGACAAATATATGGCAAACCAATGCCCACTCGACATCCAATTGAAACAAGTTCTCCAGATTCACGGGAAATTGCCAATCGAAAACTCAAATGACCATTGATACGAGTTCCAAAAGTTCTTGTGAAAAATCTCTCTAACCATTGATTGACATCAATTCTCTCCTCGGGAATAAGACCCTTTGCTTCGTCCACACGACAAGTGATGTTGGCAATGACTTTTGAATCTTTAATTGTTGTACAAGTGATAAAGTGACTGCCACCTGGATCACGAATCACCATCCAAGGTCTTCTTTCACTAATCTCATGCTCCCGATGACGAAATTCACGAACAGTGGGCGGAAGTGTGATTTTCGTTCTGTCCCTCATGCCAGCGGGTCCAGCCGCTAGCATCACATGCCTTCCTGTCCTTAAACTTCCTGTCTCATATAAACAAGTCACATCGTTTTCATTACGAAGGAGAAAATTCGTTGGTGTCGATAGACCCAATGATCGACAACGTCTCATCAATTCCAATGGATCATCTAAAACAGTCACCTCAGCAGCTCCCGGTACAAAGCACTCGCAACCCATTATCTCCAAATATTGTTTCGCAAGTGCATCATAATAAGCCGCATTCGTCGCACAAACTGGAATATAATATGCCGCTCTCTCCTTCTGGACAATATCCTTCAATGACTTGACATATTCCGCAGCACTACCAGGTCCCGGCCTAGGCACCGTATAATATTTCGAACATGCCGTCGAATATTTAGCCAATGCAAAAAGACCCTCTAAATCGAACACAACAACACGAGCACCTGCCTTGTAGAAATTTTGCGCCAAACGAACAGCTTGAACAGTACTTCCACCACTGATTAAAACACATCTTTTATTACGCGAACGCTCCGATGCCGGTGTATGTAAAATTGTAATAAACCATTTTAATATTGTCAATGGCAATTGGAGCATTATCCAAAAGAGACAAACCCAGGCCGATGCCCATAAACCCGGTGCCCATATACCAAAACTCATGGCATTGAAAATTCCCTGAAAAATACTGGTTATTAGTCCCAAATACCAGGAGAAAATTTTTGATAAAATTCTCGGTAGAATTGCCTTTGCCTCTTGATTATTCTTCACCTTGTTCAATTGTTGTTGTCTAATCATCGAATTATTTAATCTTCCAAAATTTTCACTATTCGAAGAATTTGATTCTTTAACGCTAGGAATCGAGGGTAAATGCTCCAAACTTGAAGGCGGTGATTTTGATAACGGCGAACTTGGCAATGATGGTGACGCACTGCAACTCCTTGACGGAGGTGGACTCCAAAATCGAGGATAATTTTCACTCGAACAAGCCGGCATCTTGGGATGATAATAATTCGAATCCGTAAATTCTATTCCATTTAGCGCACTTTTCAATTTGTCTTTTGAAAAAAAAGTCTACAAATAAATAAGACTGCAGGTAGTAATCAAAAATCAATTCTGATTATATTAAATAAGGTATGCAAGTTGATAAAATGATTATTATTATTTTTTTTTTTTATCGTTGACAAGGTTGTGAGTCCAAATTCTCTCGCGGGTACATTATTGATTGCACACGTGTTTTTAAAATAAATTCACGAGCAAATAAAATTTTAATGAGCAAACAAACAACAACAAAAAAATCCTTCTTACACTTTTTGGGAATAATCCATAAGAATAGAGATTTGACGGTACGTGTGATATTTAACTGACTCGGATTCTGTGAAATCTCGGTCTCTTATGTGGACTGCATCTCGATCGCACTATGAACCTAGAGTCTTATCTAATCGAAACACTTTAGAGACATCGTCGCAAAAACTGTGAAAAAGAATGAAAAAAACGAATAAGAAGGAATTTATTTTATAAAGAGATCGACGATAAACTTGTTAAAGAAGCAACATTCAGAATTGACTGATCAAGTTGCAACGAATGATCATCATCCCTTTTGAGAAAATGAGTCTCTCTCTCTCTCTTTCTCTCTCTCTCTTTTTCTGATATCAACGATTCTGATAAGAATTCTCAATTTGTTTCAAATTGCGATAAATTCTTCATATCGTTTATTTATGTTTGCGCGAGCCGAAACTGTTGATGGCGTATTCTCTTAAACAAAATGAAAAATAAAAAAAAAAAAAAAAAAAAAAATAAAAGTATAAACGAAAATGCAAAAAAAGTAATACTAAAAAAAGTCAGATTACAAATTTATAAAAAGATAATAATTCTCTCTTAATTGGTAAAATTTTTATATTCAATTAGATCATTTATCGAAGAAATAAAGTAAATAAATTTTACATTACGATTAAATAATAATCAAAGAATTCATAAATAAAATTTTCTCAAAATTATACTTAAAAAAAAAATCTTTATTATTAAAAAATTAATAATAATGAAGTACATTTTCCGGTAATCTGTTCGCAGTTTGAAGTTAATTGTTGTTTGCTTTTTCGTTTCTTAACTTTTTTTATAATTTTTCTTTTCAAATATGTATTTTCAATTTTTAAAATTAATGTATTGAACATCATCGAATTGTTGCAAAGAATTTTATCAAAAAAATTTGATGATAATAGAATTCCTTCAAAGAATTTTATTATTTAGGAAAATAATTGAATTCTTGAAAAAGAATTTTATTAAAATTTTAAAAAATCCCAATTAAATTCTCCTGAAGAATTTCTTAAATTATTTTTTAAACTAATGAAGTTTCTTTAATAATATTAATTTAGAAATAATTAAATTTTGAAAAAGTTTCAAATTGAAATCTTTGAAAATCTGAATTTTTCATATTTTTAACAAACAATTCTATAGAATTAATTTTTATCAAAAAGTTTAATAATTAAAATTATTCATATATTCATTCAAGAATTTCTGAATGATCGATGAAATTTCGTAAAATTGAATTGTAAACAAATACATTTGAAAATTCTCAGAATTTTTTTTTTTAAATTATTGTAAATAATTGATTTAAAGAAGAATTTTAGTTAAAAATTCTAGAAAATTATAATTAAATTAAAATAACGAAATAATTTTGAAGTTACAATTATTATTTTCATAAATGTCAAAAAAATTCTTGTCCTAAGTTTCAATTATTTTCAAAAAATTTTCTAATTTCAATGATTTTCAATATCTAATATTTTAATAAAATTTCCCAAAAAGAATTCAATTATTTAAAAAAATTTTTAATAAAATTGTACGCAAACATTTAATTATTTTCATAAATAATTAATTCTTTTTAAGGAATTCAATTGTTATTTTCATAAAAAATAATTTTAAATTCTAGAAAATAATAATTGAATTAATGTGATGAAAATAATTTTGATAAAGTTACAGTAACAATATTCTTATAATATAAAATAATGATTTTATCTCTCGGTTATCTTTAATTTATTAGAAAACATGAAGAAAGGTTTGAATTTAAAATTTTTGAATGTCTTAATTCCTGTGGAAAATCCTGTTCCAAAAATAAGATTAAAAATAGAAATTGTGCAAATATTTTTCTTCTTTTTCTAAAACAAAATAAATAATTTTGTTAAAAAAAAAAATTGTGATTCATAAACAAAAATAATGCAAAATAAATAAATTTTCTATTTCTTAATCACAGTTGTTTAACAATTTTCTAATTTTGCTTAAAAGTAAAGAACAAAAATCTGCTTAATTTCAATTTGACAAAACATAATATTTAACAAAATTTTAATCTTTTAATGAAAAGAATGATGATGATTTCTACTGGTCATTACAATTTTGAATTAATTATAAAATAAAAATAATTATAACATTAATTAATTAATTATTATTAATTAATTAATAATAATAAAGTACATGTTTCGGTAATCTGTTCGCAGTTTGAAGTTAGTTGTTGTTTGCTTTTTCGTTTCTTAACTATTTTTATAATTTTTCTTTTTAAATATTTTCAATTTTAAAATTAATGTATTAAAAATCATCGAATTGTTGCAAAAAATTTTACTAAAATTTAAAAAAATTCTAATTAAAGTCTTTTGAAGAATTTCTTTGAATTTTTTTTAAACTAATGGAGTTTCTTTAATAATTTCAATTGAAAATTTTAAAAGCAATTAAATTTCATGTTTAATACAATTGAATTAAAAATAATTAAATTCTTGCGAAAAATTTATTAAAATTTTAGAAATTAAATGTATTTTATGTTAATATTTGAAAATTTAAATTCTTTCGAGGAATTCTATTAAAATATTGTTTTGAAAAGAATTGAATTTTCCGCCAAGGATTTTACTATTTATAAAAATAATTGCGAAGAATTTTACTATATTTATAAAAATAATTGAAATGTTTCGAAGAATTTATTAAAATTTTAAGAAATAATTAAATTGTTATGAAGAATTTTATAGAAATATTTGAAAATAATGAAATTTTTTCGAGAAATTCAATTAAAGTTGTTTCGAAAATAATTGAATTTCTGTAAAGAATTTTATTAAAATTAAGTATATATATACAAAATAATTGAATTCATCACAAGAATTTTATTATTTTTTTTGAACATAATTGAATTCTTACAATTTTTTTGACAAGTATATATGAAAATTGCATTGAAAGTAATTTAATTTTTATATAGAATTTTTCAAAAATATTTTGAGAATTTATTGAATTATTTTTAAAGAATTTTAAATTCTTGTTAAAATTGAATTTTATAGAAATTTTTCAAAATAATTAAATTCTTTCGTGTAATTTTATTTAAATTGGATGAAAAATTATTTAATTCCTGCAAAGAATTTTAGTATTTATAAAAATAGTTGAATATTGTTTTAAAGAATTTATTAAAATTTTAGGAAATAATTGAAATTTGTGGAAATATTTAATTCTTGTTAAGAATTTTACTATTTATAAAAATAATTTAATTTTTTCGAAGAATTTATTAAAATTTTAGAAAAAAAATTGATTTTTTTTTAAATTTGTTACAATTTTTTTTTTAAAATTGAATTCTTCCGAGAAATTGAATTCAAATTATTTTGAAAATAATTGATTTCTTCATGTTTTTTAATAATTAAAGATGACCAAGTAATAAAATCGAGTAAATTATTTTATATTGTAAGAATATTGTTACTTAACTTTATCAAAATTATTTTCTGTATTTTAATTCAATTATTATTTTCTAGAATTTTAAATTATTTTTTATAAATATTTCTAGTAAATACTTAAGGAATTCTTGCTACAAAAGATTATTTTGAGAGTTTAAAGGGGTTTGTAGCCAATGTAAATAGATGGTAGTTCAATTCCTATTAAATTGCAAATCGACTTCCTTACACGAATGTGAATTAACACCCTCCCCCCCCCCCGTCTACTAAACAAAGTTTTAATAGCAAATTCAAGGAAATTTGAGTAGGTGTATTGAGCAAGGAATCATGTCATTGATTAATGATGGTTTAGCTCTAATAATCTATTGAAATACACAAGTGAAAATTTAAAAAATTTCAAAAGAAACCTTTACCCGACACTCGATGCAACAAGAAATTGTCCTTCAGTTCCACTTTGCACTCACGAGCAGTCTCTTCAAATTTTTAAAAAGTATCATAATTTCTCTATTTTCTCTAAGTTCTAATTGAAATTATTATTAGTTAATAATTGAAAAATAATCAAATAAATTTATTAATTCAAAAATTATTAACTTAATTCATTTTTTGTATATTACAATAAAAAAATTTAAAAATTAAAAGAAAAAATATAAAAAAAGATAAATCTTTAATATTATACGTATAATATTTATGAATTAAAATAGTAAAATGTGACTTCCGCATTTAAAAACAATCAATTCGAATAGCGTGACACGAAAGAAATATTGTTTAAAAAAGAAGATAAAGATTTTGTGTTGCGTGCATGACGACACTCTTCCAGGTACGAAATGTATCTTCGTGACGATAAAATATTGTCTTTTGGAAAACTTTTCATTTAAGTGGTATTAACAATGTTTCTTTTTTTTTTTTAAAAAAACACTGCGGGAAAAAATAAACTAAGTATTAAAAGTCTCAATATTATTTACTAAAAGAATGTAATTATTTTTTTCAAATTTTTTTTCTTCTGACATTTTAGAAAGTTGATGGAAAAAATTGGTGAATTAATAACGCCTGCTGATTTTTTCATTGCTGTTTTCCTTCCTCCCGGCTCTAGAACATCTGTTTACAGTCGAAATGAAAGAGAAATTTTACTCACAATTGATGGTCTTCAAAAAATTTATAATTGCACTTATCGGTGAGATAACTTATATTTAGATGCGTCTAGTAAGTAAAAAAATTTTAAACAGAAATCATGTAGTTACAAATATTTAGTACTTTTCAAATAATAATATCTCAAAAAATAATATTTAATAATCTACAGAGTTCATTGTGAAATTCAATTATTTTCATAAATAACAATATTCATCACAAGAATTCAATTATTTTTAAAATTAATAAAATTCTTCGCAGAAATTCAAATATTTTCAAAAAATCTAAAAAAAATTCTCGTCAATATTTCAATTTATCATTATAAATAAATAGCAAAATTCCTTGACAAAATTCAATTATTTTGATAAATAATAGTATTCAGCACAAGAATTCAATTATTTTCAAAAATTCAATTTAAAAAAATAAAAATTTCACAGGAATTTAATAAGTTAAAATAGAATTTGCGTAAATTTTTTCAAAAAAATTAAATGTTTTAAAATTTGGCATTAAATTCTTCCCAGTAATTTAATTATTTGCATAAATTTAAAAATTCTTTTCAAGGACTTCATTATTTTCATAAATAATAAAATCATTCGGTGGAAGTCAATTTATTATTTTCATAAATAACAATATTCATCACAAGAATTCAATTATTTTCAAAAGTAATACAATTATTTAATTATTTTCAAAAATTTTAATATGGCAAAATTTCAATTATTTTCAAAATTTTTTTTTTAATTTAATAATTTGTATATCTATTATTTTAACAAAATTTCCAAAAGAATTCAACTATTTAAAAACAATTTTGACAAAGTTTTTCACGAATATTCAATTATTTTCTAAAATAATGAAAATTTTACTGTAATTCAATTATTAAAAATAGAATTTGCATAAAAAAATCAATTGTTTGAAACTTTTCTTTATCAAATTCCTCGAAGAAATTCAATTATGTTGATAAAATTCTTTATGATAATTCAGTTTGGAGAAACATTCATTTATTCAGTAAATTATGTATTTATTTTTGAATTTAAATAATTGAATTCTCGTTGAATTTTCCTATAAATGAATTTTTAAAAAAAATTGATAATTGAATTCTTTCCAAGAATTTTAATGAAATTTTTGAAAATAATTACATTTTTCAAAGAATTTACTTAAAATTGTAATAAAAATAATTGAAAACCTATGAAGAATTTTATTAATTTATGAAAGTAATTCTTGGGACAAATTTTTAATATAATTGCATTGTTTCCAAGAATTTAATTTAAATTTTTTTAATTAGTTTCAATTTAAAAAATTTTAACGCAATTTTTTGAAAGAATTCAACTATCTTAATAAATATCAAAAACTTTTTTCACAAATTCAATTATTTTAAAAAATGAAAAAAAAATTATCGTTAACATTTTAATTATCTTTATAAATAGCAAAATTCTTTAACAAAATTCAATTATTCTCAGGAATTTTTATAAAAGATTCATTGTGAAATTCAATTATTTTCATAAATAACAATATTTATCACAAGAATTCAATTATTTTTAAAATCAATAAAATTCTTTGCAGAAATTAAATTATTTTCAAGAAATCTAAAAAAAAATTCTCGTCGATATTTCAATTTATCATTATAAATAAATAGCAAAATTCTTTGACAAAATTCAGTTATTTTCAGGAACTTTAATAAAATTCAATTATTTTCAAAGATTCAATTTAAAAAGATAAAAATTTCACAGGAATAGAATTATTTAAAATAGAATTTGCATAAATTTTTTCGAAAAAATTAAATGTTTTAAAATTTGGCATTAAATTCTTCTCAGTAATTCAATTATTTGCATAAATTTAAAAATTCTTTTCAAGGACTTAATTACAAATTCTCGTCAATATTTCAATTCATCTTTATAAATGGCAAAATTCTTTGCCAAAACTCAATTATTTTGATAAATAATAGTATTTAACACAAGAATTAAATTATTTTCAAAAGTAGTAAAATTCAATTATTTTCAAAGATTCAATTTAAAAAAATAGAAATTTCACAGGAATTTAATTATTTATAATAGAATTTGCATAAATTTTTTTGAAAAAATTAAATGTTTAAAATTTGTTTTTAAATTCTTTCCAGTAATTCAATTAAATTGTTTTGAGAAGTTTTATTAAAATATTAAATTTCGAAAATTTTTGAATTTCAGCGAAGAATTTCATTGTTTGTGAAAGTAATTTATTTCTTGCAAAAAAATTTTTCAAGATAATTTCATTTTTCGAGAAATTTATTTAAAATTTTATTAAAAATAATTGAAAACCTGTGAAAAATTTTATTATTTATGAAAATAATTGAATTCTTGCAATGAATTTTATTATAATTTTTGTAAATTATTATTTAATTTTAATTTAATTTTTTTGAAAAATTTTATGGAAATGTAAATTTTTATAAAACATGAAGATATGAATTACTCTGAGCAGTCGAAGACTCGAAGTGATTTATATCTTCATGTTTTACAATAATATTCTTATAAATTGTTAAATTTAAAAAATTTTTGAATTTAAATGTTCTGAAGAATTTTAATTCCTATGGAAAAATAATAATTAAATACTTATTTAAAAATGAAGTTATTGATGTTTGCGAATAATTTTACAATTAAAGAAATTCGTAAGTAAATTTAATTGAATGTTTTTTTTTGTTTTTGAGTATCTAATAATTTTGAACTAATGTTCTTTTGGAATAATATTTCATTATCGTAGTCTTGTAATTGCAATAATTTTGCATATTCTCAACTTCTGAATTTTCTTAACTGCAAGATGGCTGTTTTGAATGACCTTTGGTTATTAGAATTTGTATTTTAAAATTCTATGTATAATTTATCAATTAATTAATATTTCTGTATTTTTATTATTGTTCTTTAGTTTTTGATTTTTGACAGAGAATTTTACTCCTATGGGTGTTTCCTCATTAGATTAGAAAATGACGAGTACAATATCCGGCGAATCCATCAACCGGAAGAAGAACGATGTCGACGACGTCGGCACGAAGAAGTGCCACTTTCAACTAGAACGCCAACTTCTGATGAAGGAATATGGATGAAAAAATTATTATATAACTTGTCACGCGATCGCAATCATCAACATCATCATAATCCTCATAATGATGATCATCAGCATCATTCAACGAATCCGCAGGACGAACAGGACGACGACGGCGCCGTATGGATCGCCGTCATGAAAACCACCTCCACTACATTGTTCAGTAAAAATCCGTCGGCCGTTACGAACACACCCCAACGTTCGCTCGACGAAGTTGGATCATTTCGAAAAGCCCTGAGAATCGTTTCGCCGCCTGCCCTCCCTTACGATTGTTGCATCTTCAACATCCACCACCACCACCACCACCATTGTCATCATAATTATTTTTTTCATCAAACGCGGGACCAGAAATTCACAATAATGCCGCGGGTGAGTTTCATTGATTTTATTTAATTAGAGAAAAAATTTATTTTTCTATTATAAACTTGTTTTCTTTTTCATCATTTTTATTAACTGACCTATAGCACAAATAACGCGCGCGTGAAGTTTCTTATTTCACTTTTAACATATAACAAATAACGTAATTTTTTTATTATACATGTTACATGAAAATAAGTCATTTTGTAATTGAATTCTTGTGATGAATAATGTTACTTATGAAAGTTTTATTTTTTTAAATTTAATCTTTAAAAATAATTGAATTTTACTACTTTTGAAAATAATTGAAATCTTGTGATGAATACTATTATTTATCAAAATAATTGAATTTTGTCAAAGAATTTTTCTATTCATTTATAAAGATGAATTGAAATATTGACGAGAATTTTTAATTAAGTCCATGAAAAGAATTTTTAAATTTGATTTTTTTTTTAAATTTTTTTTTTTTTTTTTTATGCAAATAATTCAATAACTGGGAAGAATTTAATGCCAAATTTTAAAACATTTAATTTTTTCGAAAAAATTTATGCAAATTCTATTTTAAATAATTCAATTCCTGTGAAATTTTTATTTTTTTAAATTGAATCTTTGAAAATAATTGAATTTTATTAATTTTAAAAACAATTGAATTCTTGTGATAAATATTGTTATTTATGAAAATAATTGAATTTTACAATGAATCTTTTATAAAAATTCCTGAGAATAATTGAATTTTGTTAGAGAATTTTGCTATTTATAAAGATAATTAAAATGTTAACGATAATTTTTTTTTAATTTTTTAAAATAATTGAATTTGTAAAAAAAGTTTTTGATAATTATTAAGATAGTTGAATTTTTTCAAAAAATTGCGTTAAAATTTTTTAAATTGAAACTAATTAAAAAAATTTAAATTAAATTCTTGGAAACAATGCAATTATATTAAAAATTTGTCCCAAGAATTACTTTCATAAATTAATAAAATTCTTCATAGGTTTTCAATTATTTTTAATACAATTTTAAGTAAATTCTTCGAAAAATGTAATTATTTTCAAAAATTTCATTAAAATTCTTCAAAAGAATTCAATTATCAATTTTTTTTTTAAATTCATTTATTGGAAAATTCAACGAGAATTCAATTATTTAAATACAAAAATAAATACATAATTTACTGAATAAATAAATGTTTCTCTAAACTGAATTACCATAAAGAATTTTATCAACATAATTGAATTTCTTCGAGGAATTTGATAAAGAAAAGTTTCAAACAATTGATTTTTTTATGCAAATTCTATTTTTAATAATTGAATTCAAAGTAAAATTTTCATTATTTTAGAAAATAATTGAATATTCGTGTAAAACTTTGTCAAAATTGTTTTTAAATAGTTGAATTCTTTTGGAAATTTTGTTAAAATAATAGATATACAAATTATTGAATTAAAAAAAAAATTTTGAAAATAATTGAAATTTTGCAATATTAAAAGTTTTGAAAATTATTAAATAAATGTATTACTTTTGAAAATAATTGAATTCTTGTGATGAATATTGTTATTTATGAAAATAATAAATTGACTTCCACCGAATGATTTTATTATTTATGAAAATAATGAAGTCCTTGAAAAGAATTTTTAAATTTATGCAAATAATTAAATTACTGAGAAGAATATAATGCCAAATTTTAAAATATTTAATTTTTTCGAAAAAATTTTCGCAAATTCTATTTTAACTAATTAAATTCCTGTGAAATTTTTATTTTTTTAAATTGAATTTTTGAAAATAATTGAATTCTTGTGCTGAATACACTATTATTTATCAAAATAATTGAATTTTGTCAAGGAATTTTGCTATTTATTTATAATGATAAATTGAAATATTGACGAGAATTTTTTTTAGATTTTTTGAAAATATTTGAATTTCTGCGAAGAATTTTATTAATTTTCAAAATAATTGAATTCTTGTGATGAATATTGTTATTTATGAAAATAATTGAATTTTACAATGAATCTTATTAAAATTCCTGAAAATAATTGAATTTTGTTAAAGAATTTTGATATTTATAAAGATTATTAAAATTTTAACGATAATTTTTTTTTAATTTTTTAAAATAATTAAATTCTTTCGATGAATTTAAAAAAAAATTTTAAGAATAATTACATTTTTTGAGGAATTCGAATTAAAAATTTATCAAAAATTAAAATTATGAAACTAATTGTTTTCCTCCGAATGATTTTATTATTTATGAAAATAATTAAGTCCTTTTAAAGGTATGAAAATAATTGAATATTCCAATGAATTTTATTAAAATTCCTGAAAGTAATTGAATTGAATTCGAATTGAAAATTAATCAAAAATAATTAAAATTCTGTAATAAGTTTAATTATTTATGAAAATAATTGAATTATTGCGAAGAATTTTATAAAAAAAATTTCCAAATAATTGATTTAAAAAAAAATTATACAAATTCTATTTTTAATAATTAAATTCCTGTGAAATTGTCATTTAAAAAAATAATTGAATATTCGTGTAGAACTTTGTTATAATTGTTTTTAAATAATTGAATTCTTTTGGAAATTTTATTAAAATAATAGATATACAAATTATTGAATTTAGAAAATTTTTTGAAAATAATTGAAATTTTGCAATATTAAATTTTTTGAAAATAATTGAATTCTTGTGATGAATATTGTTATTTATGAAAATAATTGACTTTTTCCGAATGATTTTATTCATTATAAAAATCCCTGAAAGTAATTGAATTTCATCGAAGAATTTTGCTATTTATAAAGATAATTTAAATATTACCTAACGATAATTTTTTTTTAATTTTTTAAAATAATTGAATTTTCAAATAATTGATTTTTTTCGACGAATTTTAATAAAATTTTTAAGAATAATAATATTGTTTTTCGAGGAATTCAAATTAAAAATTTATCAAAAATAATTGAAATTCTGTAATGAGTTTTATTTCTTATGAAAATAATTGAATTATTGCGAATAGTATTATAGAAAAAAGTTTCAAACAATTAATTCTTTTTCAAAAAATTTATGCGAATTCTATTTTTTATAATTGAATTTTCTGTGAAATTTTCATTATTTTAGAAAATAATTGAATATTCGTGTAAAACTTTGTCAAAATTGTTTTTATTTAATTGAATTCTTTTGGAAATTTTATTAAAATAATTCTACACAAAATCACTATTTTTCTAAATTTATTCAGGGATGTCAGGAATATGCCAGGGAATTTTGTCAAAAGTACTGAAATAATATTCAAATTTGAAGAATTCATAAGAAAATTCTGAATGTTATTCTTCAACATTGAAAAGATTTTATTTATTTCAAACTCGTCCTATTTTTAACAAATTATTATTCTTCTGTGAATAATGTAAATAAAAAAATTTTTATTTTTAATTTTGATAATGAAAAAAAAAATAAAACTCAATTTATTTTTATTATTATTTTTACTATTATTTTTATTATTAATATTATTATTTTAATTATTTTTAATATATATTTGTTCTTATTACAAGTATCATCTTAAAAAATCATGTTAAAAATATTTTTTCAACTATTAAAATATTTCTTGTCCTTTTTCAAAAGGGAAGGGGGGGGGATTAAAATAATTAAATTACCACTGGTCACTTTCTCATGAGGGTTTTTTTGTGACGCACTTGTATGTCCAGGTAAATTTATCCAAAAGGGGAAAGAAAGTTAGGTATATTTAGTCACGTGTACATTGCATTCTTTTCATTCACCCCTCGTGATTGTAACATGTGACCGCTGTCCACTATTATAAAAGTAAAATATTGACTATTTTTCTTTCAATTTTTTTTCCTTTCAAAACTGATATAAATTTTTTCATTTTGTTTTTATCAATTGTAATTAGATTTAAATTCACTTTTTTCATATTTAATATCTAATTATTATGTAATAAATCATTAATATAGGAAAATAGAGTAAAATAAAGAGAAACAAATTTTTTTTTATTGATTCTGTTTCTCCCCACTCTTATCTTTTTCTGTAGAGAGAAAGAGAGAGAGGGTGATATAATATAATATGTTTTCTTTTTTCTTTAAATTTCTTCTAATCGTTTCACGAGAATTAGAAATAAAACAAAAAAAAAAAATTTTTTTTAATCTTCTTAAAAAAAGAAAATTTTATCTAACTATTGAGGAAAAAAAGCAAAAGTTTATCGTGTATTGAGAAAATGTTTAAGTAATCATTTTTGCTATTTAAAATTATAATGAGAATTTAATTATATACATTAAATAATTATTGATACGAATTTATGTTCATTCTATTTTCTTTAAATAATTGCAAAAGTAATATAATTAAATTACAAAATTTTAAGTAGAAAAGAAGTTGTATTGGCAGTTGAGGAACTTAAATACGGAGAAGAGGAGTGGGGACAATGAGAGTGATAGAGAGAAACGAAGACTTCCTTCTCACTCTCATTGACCCCACTCAGACTCTTACGTTCCCCTACTCCTTAGACACACGTACCTTACGTTTCAGTTAACTCTACATAAATAATCTCATACCATTAAAAATCATTATTTAATAAATTATTTATTAAATAGTAAATTAACGTACAAAATCGCAAAAATAAATTATTTTTACTTACTTATAATTATTATTATCAAAAAAATATTCTCAAAAATTATAATCAAATTCTTTAAAACGATTCAATTATTTTCAATATCTACTATTTTCATCAAATTTCGTCAAAAAATTCAATTATTTAAAAAGGAATTTATAAAATTCATCTAAAATTCAATTATTTTCCTAAATAATAAAATTTCTACAAGAATTCAATTTTTTTTTGAAATAATTCAATTGTTCTTTTAGATTTTACAGGAATTTCTCAAGAAATGTAATTATTCTAAAAAATTAATTTTTTACTCGAAGATAAATAAATAAATAATGACTCGAAGAAGTCAATTATTTAAAAAAAATTAGTTTTCAATTCTTTACAATAATTCAATTACTTTCACTAATAATAACTTATTTCATGGAAT